GCATGGTCCTGCCCAGAGCACCCTCTGGTTTCGGGCTTGGACCACAAGCCCTTTGGCGGAAGCTGGTCTGGGATTGCCAGCCTCACCCTCTCCGTGTCCAGGCCCCCTCTGTCTTACAGTTGGCTGAAGTGTTTCAGTGCAGCTGATTTTTCTGACCTGTGTTCATTGTTCATATACCAGGTAGAAAATAAAGATGCCACAAAGGAGATTGTAGGCTGAGACTCTTCTCTGTCCTGAGATGGGGCTCTCTGCAGGAGTTAGGGTGCCCAGTAGGAGGAGTGTTTGCCTTGTGTGAGGCTTTGCTGTAACTGGTGAGCAGATCCAGAATGGAGGACGGTCCCTTGAGAAAAGAGTGGGTGGAGTGGGGCATAATCCAAGTCACGAGGGCAACTTGGCCTCTGTAGTCAAATTTTTCTACATCTTCTTACACTCCTCACCCCTGTGGCTTTGGAAGGATTGTATACTTCTGTTCACTGGATAGTTTTTTTTGTTGTTTTTTTTTTGTGTGTGTGGTATGCGAGCCTCTCACTGTTGTGGCCTCTCCCGTTGCGGAGCACAGGCTCCGGACGCACAGGCTCAGCGGCCATGGCTCACGGGCCCAGCCGCTCCGCGGCATGTGGGATCCTCCCGGACCGGGGCACAAACCCGTGTCCCCTGCATCGGCAGGCGGACTCTCTACCACTATGCCACCAGGGAAGCCCCACTGAATAGTTTTTTAAACCATATTGAGATTTTGTCTGTTTTGGGTGAATTCCTGGCCCAGATCAAGGGTGACCACTAACTCCTGGCCAAATGCTCGGGTAATTCTTTCCTTTTATAAGATAGTTGAAAAAAAGGATTTTTGAAGAAACTGTCCTTTTATCTTCTATTTAAGGTACTTCTATTCAAGATACTAAATAATATTTCTGGCCAATTTAGCAGAAAAGGAATTTTATTTAAAGAGTTGATGGGCAGAATCGATGGGCAGACTAGAGGCTGAGCTTTCCAGACCTACACCCTAGACCATGACAGAATGATCTGGACTGGGAAACGGCTGCCCCTTTCACAAAGCCCTGCTGCCCTCAACCCTGTCTGTCATCAGGCAGCCTTCACCCCATTTTCTCCTGGGCTGCCTGCATTTGAGTTGTCCTCCAGCTTGGTCACATGCCTTCCTTAAAACAGGGAAAAGTCAGGACTTGTATTTTTGTTTTTGTTGTTGTTGTTGTTGTTTTTTTGCAATACGGGGGCCTCTCACTGTTGTGGCCTCTCCCGTTGCGGAGCGCAGGCTCAGCGGCCATGGCTCACGGGCCCAGCTGCTCCACGGCATGTGGGATCTTCCCAGACCGGGGCACGAACCCGTGTCCCCTGCATCGGCAGGCGGACTCTCAACCACTGCGCCACCAGGGAAGCCCAGGACTTGTATTTTTTATTCCTATAAAGAGAAGACAAACTGCACCCACGAATGCTCAAAGAAAGGAATACCCTGACTGTAGAAAGTGACCATACAGGTGCAAACGTCCACTTAAAATAAATAATAGAAATTGTCACCACTTCTCATCTTCCTATTGGTGAAGTGGATATTGTTTATTTTTTAATTCCAAAAGTGAATGCCCACTTCTCTCCCACTTTTGTAGAGGTGATAGAAAGATGCTCTTCAACAGTCAAGCTCTGTTGAAGCCCCTGCTGACTCACCTCCTTTCTTATTTTTTTTGGGTGGGGGGCGCCTCACGGCATATGGGATCTCAGTTCCCCGACCAGGAATCAAACCTGTACCCGCTTCAGTGGAAGCATGGAGTCCTAACCACTGGACCGCCAGGGAATTCCCCCACCTCCTTTCTTAATATAGCTGACGAAAAGTGAGCTATATTCCCATCAGAGGCACTTCTTCCATTACAAAAGAGCAAGCACACAAGTCTGTAGAGAGGAAAATTCTAGGTGGCAGACCCTCTCAGGCTAGCTTGTCTTCACGTGAATGATCTTTTAGCAGTGGGCCCACTGAGTTCCTCTTGGCCAGCTGCCAAGTCTCATGTCTTCCCTTAGGCGGGAGCACCTGACATATGTCAGTTGGCCACGTGTCCCTTGGTCCTGACTTGCTCTGCTCATCACTGCCACTGTCATCACTTACAGCTTCCACTTATCCTGTGGCTGCCAGTTGTTGCAAGTCTTGAGCAGTACATTAGAGTTCTGCAGAGGAACAGAACCGATAGGATATGTCTATGTATCTCTATACAGATATATGAGGAGATTTATTATGGGAGCTGGCACACATCATTATGGAGGCTGAGAAATCCCACAATATGCTGTCTGCAAGCTGGAGACTCAGGAAAGCCAGGGCTATAATTCAGTTTGAGTCTGAAGGCCTGAAAACTAAGAGGCCACTGGTGGGAGGCCCAGAGTCTAAAGGCTTGAGAGCCAGGAGCTCTGATGTCCAAGGGCAGGAGAAGATGGATGTCCCAGCTCAAGAAGAGAAAGAATTCACCCTTTCTCCCCCTTTTTGTTCTCTTCAAGCTCTCATCAGATTGGATGATACCCACCCACATTGTTGAGGGCAGATCTTTACTCAGTTTACTGATTCAAATGCTATTCTCTTCTGAAGCACCCTCACAGATAATCCTAGAAAAAATGTTTTACCAGCTGTCTGGGCATCCCTTAGCCCGGTTAAGTTGACACGTAAAATTAACCATCACAAGCAGCCCTTCAGGTGAGACTGAAGCAGCTTTCAACATCCTCATTCTGTACTTCCTCAAATACAAACTGTATCACAATTTGATGATTTGTGTGAGTTTGTCAGGAGGTCCAAACCCAACGAAATCATGAATTAAGTCAGACACTTCAAGTCTCACACATGCAAGCACTCCTTACGTTGTTCCAAGGACTCCACGATAGTGTCAGTGTCAAATTTGTTGTTAAATTGCTTCTGAAATTCCAGAATGGGGCGGCAGTTAACATCTTGAACATTCCTCTTAAGTAATAAGGCTTCATGCTGCAATCACACTTTGATCAAGAGGCTGTAATAGGTTATATTAGGATGTAAACAGATGACACGTTGGAGAGAGCTCAGTAACTGTTGGAGGAAATCTTGCTGTGTTAGCAAGAATAAGATTTGTTTTTTTTAATTTTTGGCTGCACCACGGGGCATACAGGATTTTATTAGTTCCCTAACCAGGGATCACACCGGTGCCCCCTACAGTGGAAGCGTAGCATCTTAACCACTGGACTGCCAGGGAAATCCCCAAGAAGAATTTTGAAGTTTGTTTCTTCTTGCAATAATTTAGAAATGTATCCTGGGAAACATTAGCTAAAATAACAAGTATCTACCAAGTCATCCAGCCTCTTTGGCTAGACCTGAAGTGAACAGCAAGACTGGACTTCACAGCACCTTTAAAGCCATCAGATTGGCAGTGATAAACCAGAAGTAAACTGGTTTCACCTCCAGGTCCTCGCTGGGGCTGGAGCCAAACATCAGGAGGCACCTGTGTCCTCTTTCTTTTTTTTTTTTTTTTAACTATTTATTTATTTATTTTGGCTGTGCCAGGTCTTAGTTGCTGCATGCGGGATCTTCACTGTGGCATGTGGGCTTCTTAGTTGCGGCATTCAGACTTCTTAGTTGTGGCATGCGAACTCTTTAGTTGCAGCATGCATGTGGGATCTTATTCCCCCACCAGGGATTGAACCCAGGCCTCCTGCACTGGAAGCACAGAGTCTTACCTACTGGAACACAGGGGAAGTCACTTTCTTTTTCTCTTTGTTTTTTACATACCATGGTATGAAGCCTGAAATAGTGCTTCTGCAACATGCTTTTTTAAGTCCGGTTTATTGAGGTATAATTTACATATAGTAAAATTCATCTTCCTTTGGTGTACAGTTCTGAGTTTTGACAAATGTATACAGTCATGTAACAAGCACAAGTGAGATATACAGCATTTTCATCACTCCAACAAGTTCCTGGCACCTTTTGTGGTCAACCTCTGCCCCCTAAACCCCTAAACCCAAACCCTGGCAACCATCCATTTGATTACAAAAAGTTCACCTTTTCCAGAACGTGGCCTTTTGTGTCTGGCTTCTTTCACTTAGCACGATGTTTTTGAAATTCACCTATGTGTGCCACAGGCATTTAAAAAACTTTATTACTGAAAATTTCGAACATATAAAAGTCAAATAGCATAGAGACCACCCTGTGCCTGACACCAAATTTGAACAATTATCAACCCAGGGCCCATTTAATTTCATCTGCAGTCCCGCCCATCATGTAGCAAATCCCAGATATATCATTTCATCTGTAGGCATTTCGATGTGTCTTCTCTAAAAATTTAGGGCTTTCTTGGGGGGGAAGGGATAAACTGGGAGACTGGGATTGACATATACACACTGCTATATATAAAATAGATAACTAATAAGAACCTACTGTACAGCACAGGAAACCCTACTCAATAGTGGCCTATATGGGAAAAGCATCTTAAAAAAAAAAAAGAGTGGATATATGTATATGTATAACTGACTCACTTTGCTGTACACCTGAAACTAACAACATTGTAAGTCAACTATACTCCAATAAAAATTAAAAAAATAATTTAGAAAATAAATAAATAAATAAAAATTTAGGACTTTGTGTTTTTGTTTTTTGGGGGAGGGGCTTGTTAACGACAGTACTATTATCCAACTTATTTTATTTTATTTATTTATTTTTCACGCACCGAATGGCACGCGGGATCTTAGTTCCCCCATCCGGGATCCAATCCGCGCCCCCTGCAGTGGACGCGCGTAGCCCTAACCGTTGGACCGCCAGAGATGTCCCATATCCCACTTATTTTAGATAAAACTTTTTGGCAAGACTAGTTCACGGTAGAGGGTGCCAACTTCCTTTAGCAGCGCGCACTACGAGCCAAAATGCCTTGCCGCTCCGGGATCTTCACAGGGCTACAAACTGTATCCCCGGAAGCGGTCTGAAGGGGGCGGGGCCGTCTCTCAGGCGTAGGCAGTGCGCGTGCACAGAGAGGCGCACCCTCTCGGCTGCCGTAGTTCGCCTCTTCGCTTGGGCGCCTCGTCGTCATGGCGGCCGTTCGGAAGCCGGTGCTGCTCGGGCTTCGCGATACTGCAGTGCACTGCTGCCCCACGGGGCTGGGCGCCTGGACCGCGAGCAAGCTGGGCGGCATTCCGGTGAGGTGGGGCGACGGAGCCGGGGTCGGCGGGTGCTGGTGAGGGCTACGGGGTGAGGGAGTGGGCGAGGTCTCGGGTAAGAGTCAGGGTCTGAGTGCCTCCCTTGCCCTCAGGACGCCCTGCCCGCCGTGGCAGCGCCGAGGCCAGTGTGTGAACTTTGCAGGCAGCCGCTTGTCCTGGTCGTGCAGGTGTACTGCCCGCTGGAAGGCTCCCCCTTTCATCGGCTCCTGCACGTGTTCGCTTGCCCCCGCCCGGGGTGCGCTAGCGGCAGGGCGCGCAGGTAGGCGGGGGCGGGAGCGGGGGTGGGGGGCCAGCCCCCGGCGCACCCGGAGGGGACTGGTCAGTCGGCTGGCAGTCGGCTATGGACCCTTCACCGCAGTTTTTCTTTACTATGAAGTTGGAAGGTGTTCCGCTCCCAGTGCCTGCAAATGCGAGAGAAAGAGACGCAGGACGCTCAGGTAAAGCGCTTGTGATCTGCTGTAATTTGAGGGTATTTTCCAGAATTTCGTTTAAGACAAACTTTAAGCCATGTTCTTTGAAGTACTTTGGAATGGTTTCTGCTTTTTTTTATGTTTAGTTTTTATTACTTTTTCTTATTAGTCATCCATTTTATACACATCAGTGTATACATGTCAATCCCAATCTCCCAATTCATCACACCACAATTTGCTTTTGTTTTGAACCATAAAATGGTACTTCCTTAATGTCTTGTTAGTTGTTTTAATTATGCACTGAAGGTATGGAAGCATATAGCTTACTGACTTTTCTGTTTGGGAAAAACTCTGGGTGTGTACATACATATCATTATATATGTGTGTGTTTATAGTAAATATACTTACTGTGATAAGTATATGTGTATATAACAAACATATTTAATATGACAAAACTCGAATGTATTAAATTAAAAAAATCAGGCAAGTTGGTAGCTGCAGGACAAAATTCAGCTTCCCTTTGCCTGTGAATGCTGCTTTATATATACACTGAATTCTTAATGTGTGCCAAGCACAGTACTAGCAATACTGGGAATAAAAAGGTGGTGTCTGCCTGTATTTGTCAGGGTTCAAATGCAGATAATAGAAAAGCACTTTGACTTTTTAAAGCTGAGACAGACTTAAAATTAGGTTTTTACTAACTTATTTGGATAGCCTGGAGGAGATGACTCCAGGAGTGACCTCCGGAACCACATCTCAGAACTGGCCTGTCAAGGAGCTGCTAACCTCTCTTGCAGTCAGGAAACTGAGATGTGTTCCGGTGAATGGAAGCTGTCCTATTCAGAACTGTTGACTCCAGAGCCTTGCTGTCTCCATCTACAGATCAGCTACCTTTTTTTTCATGGCTCTTCTTTCCACTTCACTCTGTCTCAAGTTTGTGTCTCCCTCTAGACACAGACAGACCCCCTGATCACACCTAGGACCCCAGGTGCTTAGGAGTCTGGGAAATGTAGTTCTTTCTTACCATGTGCAATACATGAAGCACAACTGAAAGAGATGTTGAAGAAACCACTGTACTGCATTTGCCATGGGGCCCCTGAAAAGGAAACACAATATTTGTCACCTCCAACATGCTTTTGAGTAAACGGGGTCCAGGAAGTTGAATCAGAGTGTGCCAGAGTGGAGGGCGGGGGGTGCTGGTGTTAAGGCTCCCTCAGGAAGGTGAAGGGATGGGTGGCTCAGGAAGCCAAGGGAGTAGGTGAGATCACCCAAGTGTGCTTGAACCACATTCACTGGATATTTTTCCAGAAACAGGAAAATGGCCTCACAGCTGAGGACTGGTGTGAAGGTGCAGACGACTGGGGAAGTGACAGGGAGGAGGCGCCTCCACCACAGCTTATCTCAGATTTTGGAAATGATTCCAGCCGTGCCAAAGACAGAGACTGGACTGCCCAGCTCCAAGACCTCCGCCTGCAGGATACTGTCCCGGGTGCTGCTCCTCCTGTGCCTCCTGGGGAAGGGATGGCCTTGCCTTCCGTGCTGCCACAGTTCCTGCCCTACTACATCTGTGTTGTTGATGAGGATGACTACAGAGACTTTGTCAGTCTAGATCATGCTCAGAGCCTTCTGAGGGAGTATCAACAGAGAGAGGGAATTGACATGGAACACTTGCTTTCCCAAAGGTGAGAGGGTGTACTGCTGAGTGTGAGAGGTGATTTGATCAGGAAGCTGCCACAGTGGGTACCCTTTGGTTTTACCCTCGTATCTGGGGAAACTTTTTCAGGCAGCACTTGTGTGTGTAGGACCTTTCTGCTTCATGCCTCTCGGATGAGAAAGGGAGACAGACAAGGGGATCTTACCAGCCACCCTTGAGTTAGCTTGAAAACACTTTGTTCTGTTTATAGGGACCCTCAGGAAAGTGAACAAACAGAAGTTAGGGATACCAAGTATTTACACAAGATGGGTTTACTAGCTCTTTAACTTTTCTGTTTTTAAATGTATAACAGAGACAGGTAAGTTAGAAAAATGCCATTTGTTTATTGACTCTTGCCTGTGGCTCAAGAACTGGCCTAGGACCTCAGAGACCCTCCCAGAGCCTCAATTCTCCCCTCTAAAATGGGGATGATACTGATATCTGGGTGGTGTATCTCCTCACATGGTTTTTGGAGTTAAGTGTGAGAATAGGTCTTGAAAGGCTTTATAAACCAAAACCCTCTAAAGTTTGAAGTAAGAATAATCACTTTGCTATTATAATAGAATTACAATAGGATATATGGAGAGTTGACCTGGTTCTTTACCAGAGCTGTATCATTTGTAAGCTTTTTCAGAATACTGTTGGAGTGTGTGAAGAAGTGTTGGTGTTTGAAAATAATCCATAATGGAGAAAGAAATGGAGAGAGTGAGTGGACATAATGACTTTTTAAATTGCAAATAATTATCCAGAGTTGAAAATGGCTAGGAAGCAGGGCTTGAGAGAAGGGTAGCAGGGGGGTTACTGCTATTCAGTATAATTTTCAGTATATTTCTAAATACTGTAATTCTCTGGATATATACAGGCAAAAGTGTTTTTTGCTTCTCTTTTTAGTCTTTCTAGTGATGGTGATGAAAAATATGAGAAGACCATAATTAAAAGTGGAGATAAGATGTTTTACAAATTCATGAAGAGAACTGCTGCTTGTCAAGAGCAGATTTTGAGGTAAAGGCACATTTTTTTAAATTGTTTTTCTTGATTGTAAAAGTAATGTATATAGGGCTTCCCTGGTGGCGCAGTGGTTGAGAGTCCGCCTGCCAATGCAGGGGACACGGGTTCGTGCCCCGGTATGGGATGGTCCCTCATGCCGCGGAGCGGCTGGGCCCGTGAGCCATGGCTGCTGAGCCTGCGCGTCCGGAGCCTGTGCTCCGCAACGGGAGAGGCCACAACAGTGAGAGGCCCGCGTACCGCAAAAAAAAAGAAAAGAAAAGAAAAGAAAATACTTTTAAAACCACCACCAGGCTAGGTCTCTCACTTCAATCACTCTTGTGCTTTAATTTCAGTTCTTATTTCATTTTGGGGAAAATTTCCTATTTCATCGTTGAGTATTGTTTTTCATCCATTTGTTGAGTTCTCTATTTTGGACACCAATTATCCTTACAGTAGTTATGTTTATCAAACTTCCATAGATATCACCTTCTCTCTAATTGCTTTGTCTTTTTCTTTTGCATTCACTAGATTTTCACAACTCTTTTCACCACGTCAGTACTTCGATTTTCAGCCAAGTCTATTATTTCTAAATTTATTCAATATGTAATGTGTGGCTTGGTTTCTTTAGCAATTCAGTTTCCCTTGGCTTCTCATAGTTACTTCATTTTCTCAACTTTGAGCTCTTGGGTTTCACTGAATGTATTTTCTTACAAAGTTCTGCTCTATCTTGAAAACTTTGCTGGGAATTATGTGTTCTCAGTTTATGTTTTCTTCCAGATATGGTTCCTGGCTCATTTTTGTTTGTACTGTTCATTTCTTTAATTTTACTGATTGCAGGAGTGGAATGCCACTTTTCATCTAGCTCATGCCTGAAGGGGGCAACTCCGTTTAGACCACCAGTTTTCTCCAAAACGGTGTGTGGGCTTTCTTACTGATTTTCTGTCTATCTCATATCAGAGGTCTGCTCTTTTCCCCTTCTCCAAGCATATTTTTCATTTCTTCTACTTTTCTGTAGTGAAGTGGGGTGGGGATATGGCTCTGTAAGACCAGATGCCATCTACTAGAACACCTGGGTTTCACTTTGACTTCTCAGATAGTGTAAAATGTCTTACATGTTGGGAGATCCCATTTTAATGGGGAAGAAATTGCCCTTGACCTCTTTATCATTACTGTAACTAGTCAACAACTTGTGCTTCTGAGAGGCAACTCCTAATTCCCTGCATCGTCACCCCACCACACCCCGTTCTCTGGCCAGCAGCCCTACAGCAGAAGATACAGACTCTTTTCCTATTTGCTTCTTTCCAGATTCAAGATTATTACTGCAATTCTCAGGATCTTGTGGGCTAATTGGTGTATTTTGAAGAGGTGAAAGAAGAAGGCTGTATGGTTAGAACTCACACTAAACCATTCCAGAAATTTCTCTGCCTTCCTCTGTGAAAAGTAAATTAATTACAAAAATAAATATTTAAATACATGTGAGGTACTCAGACCTGTATTAGACATTTAGTGATATTATGTCCTGAGCTGCCACTCTTGAGTTTTATGGTATTAAGTTCCTTTCCTTATTTCAGTGCTGATGGAAGGGATTTTCTTTTTAATACTTGTTTTTTTTCTATTTTATTTTTGGCTGACTTTTACCTTTTATATTCATCATATCAGGTATTAGGGGAGAAAGACCATTTGATTTTACTCTGTCCACTTTATCTGGACCCATTTTTCCAAGTTTTCCCTGTGTCATTATTTTTATATACTATAACCTGCTGGGTATGTCATTTCCTCTGAGGCCTCTCTGACATCCTACTTATAATAGCTATGTTTTATTTTCCTCATTTATCACTTGTGGAAATCATACAACATGTCTATTTATTTTTAACCTCCCTCACTAGAAAGCTAAAGCTATAAAAACACGGACTTTGTGTCATTTCATGCTGCACCTGCAGCATCTAAAATAGACCCAATAAATATTTGCTGGATGAATGAATACGTTCACTGAAAAGTAGGTATTAGGCCCATTTTACAGAAGAGAAAATAAAGGTAAAGTCATCTGCCCAAGGCCAAGTCTTCTAAGACCTAAACCAAGGTTCTTTTCAACCATACCACATTTGAAAAGGTGTTGGCTCCACCAAATACCTACTATATGTTTTGCGTGAGAGTTATATACTGTCCTTACCACCAAAGAATTTACAGAAATTAGGTGATTCAGTAGACCCTTGTCCTAAGATGATGAAGAATAGGTAAATATGCCAGTGCTATTAAGAGATCCTAGGGCTTCCCTGGTGGCGCAGTGGTTGAGAGTCTGCCTGCCGATGCAGGGGACACGGGTTCGTGCCCCAGTCCGGGAAGATCCCACATGCCACAGAGCGGCTAGGCCCGTGAGCCATGGCCGCTGAGCCTGCGCGTCCGGAGCCTGTGCTCCGCAACGGGAGAGGCCACACAGTGAGAGGCCCGTGTACCACCACCAAAAAAAAAAAAGATCCTAGGGAATTCCCTGGCGGTCCAGTGGTTAGGACTCTGCACTTTCACTGCCAAGGGCCCGGGTTCGATCCCTGGTTGGGGAATTAAGATCCCACAAGCCACGCAGCACGGCCAATTAAAAACAAAACAAAACAAAAAGATCCTAACAGATCTCTGCTTCCCCAAAACATAGCATAGTGGATTTCAAACAACAGCCAGTATTTACGTATATTTTACAGAGTATTTGCCTCATCACCTCATTTGATTCTCATAGGAATCCTATGAAATAGGTAGTTGTATCATCATCCTCACGTTAGAGATGAGGCACTGAGGATAAGAAAGGTTAAGTGACTTGCCCACGGACCCACAGGTAGAAATGGAAGACCTGGGCAATGAACTTCCAAGACGTATGATTCAATATCCTATGAGCACTTGTTACTTACTACAAAGTATTATGTCTTCAATATATGAAACTTATAAAGTAGAACACACAGGGGAAATAAAATCGAAACTATTATAACTAACAAAGATTTAATTACAAAGATGGAAGTCAAACTGATAAGGACACACTCTGTAGTTCAAGAAGAATCAAGACCCCACACCCCAGATAACAGCCTCCTAAACCCCCATCTCAAGAATAGCATCAACACTCACCCAATTTCACAAGCCAGAAACTCAAAACCACTTCTGTTGCCTTCTTTTACTCTCATATCCAAGGGTCACCAAGAATTGCCATTATAAAAATATCCCACAGGAACTTCCCTGGTGGTCCAGTGGGGAAGATTCCGCACTCCCAATGCAGGGGGCCCGGGTTCCATCCCTACTCAGGGAACTAAGATCCCACATGCATGCTGCAACTAAGAGTCTGCATGCCACAACTAAGAAGCCTGCAAGCTGCAACTAAGAGCCCACATGCTGCAACTTAACATGCTGCAACAAAGATCCCGCGGGCCGCAACTAAGACCCAGCGCAGCCTAAATAGATAAATATTTTTATAAAGAAAGAAAAGAGAAAAATTATAAATATTCTATGACCCCAATTATTTTTTTTTAAAAATACACAAAACCGGGCTTCCCTGGTGGCGCAGTGGTTGAGAGTCCGCCTGCCGATGGAGGGGACACGCGTTCGTGCCCCGGTCTGGGAGGATCCCACATGCCATGGAGCGGCTGGGCCCGTGAGCCATGGTCGCTGAGCCTGCGCGTCCGGAGCCTGTGCTCCGAAAGGGGAGGGGCCAAAACAGAGAGAGGCCCGCGTACAGCAAAAAAAAAAAAAAAAAAAGCAAAACCTACTTACATGTGTGCATCCAAATGCATAAAAAATAAGTGAACTTAATAAAAATCTTAGCTTCATGGTTTGAGGAATACTGTAGATTTTGGTTTTCTTGTTATACTTTCCTGTGTTTCCCAAACTAATATACATTACTTTTCTTTTTATTTATTTATTTTTGTGGTACGCGGGCCTCTCACTGTTGTGGCCTCTCCCGTTGCGGAGCACAGGCTCCGGCCGTGCAGGCTCAGCGGCCATGGCTCACGGGCCTAGCCGCTCCGCGGCATGTGGGATCTTCCCGGACCAGGGCACGAACCCGTGTCCTCTGCATCGGCAGGCGGACTCTCAACCACTGCGCCACCAGGGAAGCCCTAAAAGTATTTTCGATTAAGGTCTTACTGTATAGCACAGGGAACTATATTCTGTATCCTGTGATAAACCATAATGGAAAAGAATATGAAAAAGAATATATATATATGTATAGCTGAGTCACTATGCTGTACAGCAACAGTTAAACACAACTTTGTAAATCAACTATACTTCGGTAAAATTTAAAAACATAAAGCCTGTCTGAAAATTCCATCATTTTGGCTGTGGATCTCCTGGTATTCTTTCTTTATGGGTCAATTTTTTCTGCTTCTTTGAATATCTAGTAACTTAAAAAAATTGTTTACTGGAAATTGTATGTTGAAGAACAGTAGATACCGAAGTTAATATTTATTCCTTAGGGGTGTATGCACCTTCTTCTGTAAGGCCAGTACTGTGGGGGGCTGAGTCTTTTGAATCTGCAGTTGAGCTGAGTCTGGGCTTTGTTGCAGTTTTAGTTAGATTCAATTCAACATTAGCTTTACTTAGTGCCTTCATCTAGACTTGGTAACCATTGATAAGAATTCAGATATCTTGCTCTAATATACAACCTTGCAGCTAGTTTTCTGGGCCTTTGGATTTTCTTTGCTCTCTGGTTTTGCTCCGGATACTGTCCAAGAAAGAAACAAAATTTGCAAAGCGTGGTCTTAGATGTTGGAATGTGACTTGTATGTGGCCTTGATTCACGGTTCTTTATTTCCTTGCTCTAGGTATTCCTGGAGTGGAGAACCACTTTTCTTGACCTGCCCTACATCAGAAGTCACTGAGCTCCCAGCCTGCAGTCACTGTGGAATCCGAAGGATATTTGAGTTTCAGCTTATGCCAGCGCTGGTCAGCATGCTCAGAAGTGCTAATTTAGGTAATAAGCCGTTCATTTATTTGAGCTTGTGGGTTTCTAGCACTAATTTGGAATTATTTTAAAAATGAAGGACTATTGTTTCATTTCTGTTTCCTTATAAAATATAAGCATATTGCATAAAATTTGGGAAATTAGAATTATTATTATTTTTTAAATATTTATTTTATTTTTAAATTTTCTTTTTTTTTTTTTTGTTTTTTTTTTTTTTTTTTTGGCTGCATTGGGTCTTAGTTGCGGCACGCGGGATCTTCGTTGAGGCGTGCGGGCTTCTCTCTAGTTTGGCATGCGGGTTTTCTCTCTCTAGTTGTGGAACATGGGTTCCAGAGCATGTGGGCTCTGTAGTTCGCGGCACGTGGGCTCTCTTGTTGAGGTGCGCGAGCTCAGTAGTTGTGGCGTGCGGGCTTAGTTGCCCCACAGCGAAATTAGAATTATTTTAAGGAAACTTGTGTTGCTTCCATTTGGGGCTATTATAAATAGAGTTACTATCAACATTTGTGTACAAGTCTTTATATGGACATAGGCTTTTCAGTAAGTATCTAGGAGAAAAATGGTTGAATTATGTGGTAGGTGTGTGTTTAACTTTTTAAGACATTGCCAAACTTTTGCAAAGAGGTTGTGCCACTTATATCCCAACCAGCAATACATGAGAGTTGCACATCCTTGGCAACACTTGATATGGTCTGTCTTTTTCATTTTAGCCAGTCTCACAGGTGTGTAGTGATGTCGCATGGTTTTAATTTGCATTTCTCTAACAACTAATGATTTTGAGCATCTTTTCATGTGTTTATTTACCACTATATGTTTTCTTTGGTGAAGTATCTGTTCTAATCATTTTCTCTTTTTAAAAATTGGATAGTTTGTCTTCTTATTATTGAATTTTGAGAGTTTTGTATCTATTCTGGATACAAGCCCTTTAGTATATAATTTATAAATATTTTCTCCAAGTCTGTGGCTTGCCTTTTTTTGTTTCTGTTTTTTTGGTATGGACTTTATTCTTTAGAAGCTTTCAATTTACAGAAAAATTAAGGAATAGTACATAGAGTTCCCATATACCTCACACCCAGTTTCCCCTTTATTAACATTTTACATTAATATGGTACTTTTGTTACAATTAATGAACCAGTATTAATACATTATTAACTAAAATCCATAGTTTATTTAGATTTCCTTAATTTTTACCTGATATCCAAGAGCCTATCCTGGATACCACAGTGCATTTAGTTGTTGTGTCTCTTGCCTGTGATGGATTTTCAGACTTCCTCATTTTTGAAGACCTCGACAATTTTGGGGAGTACTGGTCACTTACTTTGTAAGATGCCCCTATATTGGAATTTGTCTGATTTTTTTCTTATAATCAGAATGAGATTATGGGTTATTGAGAGGAAAATCACAGGGGTGAAATGCCATTTTCTTCATGTCACACATGATGTCAAGGGTGCATCTTTATACATTGACTGTTGATGTTAGCCTTGATCACCTGGTGTTTCAGGTTTCTCCACTTGAAAACAATTCCTTTTTCTCCCCCCAGTCAGAATAAAATGACTTGTCTTTATTCTCTAAACAGTGTCCTTTCAAAAAACAGTTTTTAATTTTGAAGGACAATTGATTAATTTTTTCTTATATGGATCATGTTTTTAATGTCTTCTCTAAGAAATAATTGCCTAGCCCAAGGACACTAGTTTTTTCCTAGTTTTATGTTTTACATTTAGATTTATGTCCGTTTTGAGTTAACTTTTATATATGGTGTGAGGTATGGATCAAGTACATTCTTTTCCATGTGAATATCCAGTTGTTTCAGCACCGTTTATTGATAAGGATATTCTTTCTCTGCTGAATTATCTTTTACCTTTGTTGAAAATTGGTTGTCCATATATGTATTAATTTATTTGTGTACTCTCTATTCTGCATTCTGTTCCATTAATCTGTTTTTCTGTTTTGACACCACTGCCACACTGTCTCGACTACTGTAGCTTTGTAGGATTTGTAATCTGGTAGTGTCAACCTTGCAGCTTTATTCTTCCTTTTCAAAGATATTTTGACTCTTCCAAGTCCTTTGCATTTCTATGTTTTTAAGAATCAGCTTGTCAGTTTCTTTAAAAAGTAAAAGGCATTCTGGGGTTTTGATTGGGATTGCATTGATTCTCTGGATCAGTGTGGGGAGAATTGATATCTTAATGTTGAGTCTTCCAACTCATGTACATAGTATGTCTTTCCATCTATTTAGCTTCTCTTTAATTTCTTGCAGCAGGGTCTTATACTTTTCAATGTATAGTCTTGCACATCTTTTTTCAGTTTTGTCTCTAAGTATTAACTGCTTTTTTATGCTATTGTAAATGGCATTTAAAAAATTTC